CCAGCGCAACCATGACGGTCATATCTGGCGAGGATTTTGAACTTGGCGTCGTTGTGGGTGCGACGGCATCCGCACTGGAAGCCAAGCGATTCAATGCAGGCGAAGTTGTTGGACTTGGTTGCACTGTCGTTGGTGCAGCAGTTGTGGGAATTTCTGTTGGCTCCAATGTCGTCGTTGTCGGCAGCGGTGTTGGGGCTGGTGTCCTTGGCTTGGTCGTTGTTGGCTTGGGCGTCGTCGTCGGAAGCACAGTCGTTGTTGTCGTGACAGGCGCCGCGGTCACTGTGGTTGTTGGAGAAGGAGTAGTTGTTGGTTCTAATGTTGTAGTGGGCAGCACTGTGGTTGTCGGTGGGAGCGTGGTGGTTGCTGCAGTAGGCGTCGCTGCGGTTGGGGTGACTACAGGCTGAGGAGTTTCGCCTTGGGGTGCAGGGCTTGAGGTTTGACCATAGGCGACAAAGGCCATACACAACACGAGGACCTGCGACCGGCGCATGAACATTGTACTCTCAGATGTTCGTCCTTTGAAGAAGTGAAAGTGGCTGTGGGAAAAGCCCTCTCGCCAACTCGAGCAACCACGCAGATGCTCTTCGCACCTCCCACGCACGATGTGACAAATTGCGTCTGATACGAGGACACAGAGTGGGCTTCGAAGGAACGAAGTTCACAAGCCGCCGACGTTCTTTGATGAACAAACTCATTTGATCAATGTATGCACGAGCACGACGGAAGGTTTCAAAGTGCGCTTTGACGTTGCATCATGGCGTCTTAGTTCACCAAATGGTTTTATGGAGCTTTCTCCACGATCAGCAAGTGAGATTGAACCTGCGTGACTTCCTCATTGTCGTCAATAGTGCCGCTGTGCTTGGACTCACACAGAGACTCACACAGCGAGCTACAAACACGTAGCTCGTTGTAAGCGCCTCGTCCTTGTCGAGTTGCCAGAGAGTGGACTGTGACGGAACTTGACATTCTGTAAGGAACCACCACTTCTCGACCTTAGGAAAAGTGAACCATCAAGAAAATATCACAGAGAGAAAAGTGTTGCTCCACGGACGGACGGATCCTGGTGAAAACGCGACAGCAGGTTTCTGGTTACATGCACGCGTTGCTGAGTTGGACGCTCAATTTTTGGAACGTGTTGTCGGCAATTGTGGTGGGCGAAAGCGTTTTGATTTTACAATGCTAGTTGGATGCGACTTGGTCTCCCGGCCTAACTGCAAGCCAATCTTCTACTCGGCACGTATGATCTCGACAATATCTACTGTACCCATTGACCGTAATGTAGTCTACAGCTGTACTAGTACCTTGCTCACCTCAGTTGAAGTTCACTTCCGTTGACCACTGTGGATGAAAACTTCGATTTTCGTAGTGTGTTAGTGAGTGGTTATGGTTGACCTCGCAAGTCGCTGATCATGACTTTTTGTCACGAAACGTGAAGAAAGCGCAATCGCCAACGCGCATATCTCTCCGATCACAGCCAACCATGTTGACTAGCATTGCAGCGAGGTATCCACAAGATTCGGCCGCTTTCCAGAACATTGTCAGAATCGCTCGCTCGCCCCCTTGTCTTGCAGTCCTCGCCAGGCTTTTCCCTTTATTTGGAAAAATGAAATGCGACCAACAATTGAGACAACGCAGTCTTTGTATGTAAGACTGTAAAGGGCACTATGAAGTTTGCCCGAAGTCCATTACGCATTTAAAAACATCGCATTGCGGTGCATTTTCAACGAGGAACCCAAACAACAGGGTCGGACAAGTACATGGTATCGGTCTGTTGATTACTAGTACTGTATTGCCATCGGTTGAAGATCCTCCCCATCTCAATTTGAACCCAGCTTGTCGAGATTCATGGGCGCATAAACTTGTCCGACATTGCCCATGAAATTGAACTGGGAAAGACGATGTCATTGCGGCGTTTCTAGATCACGGCCATCATTTCAATCGCTTGGAGGCTTTGGACGATGCAAGGCAAATCATTTGTTTGTACTACCTGAAAAATTATATTCTGTATACTTGCATAATTCATTGTTCTCTATATTGTATCAAATATTACAGTAATGATGACCTGTAAGAACAAATCCCGCTATAAAGTTATAGATTTTAATTTTTTATATTTTATAACTTGGGAGCATTCCTCCATGATGTTATATGATTGACCGTTCCCCCTTCAAAATCATTCTAGTGCGACCCTTTGGAGCAGCACTAACAGCACACACTTTGCTGCATGGAAATACTTATGATGTTGTCGTTTCAGCCAGGAAGGCGGGTCACAGCGATGGGGGCGGCCAGTGCATTTTTGGAAATCAACCTCAAAACGAGCTCAAGAGAAAAGTTAAGAGTGAGAGATCAATTTCCGACAAAAGCTGCACAAGATATGCATTACTTTGTGTTCTGACAAGCCATGAGATCTGAAACACGTACAGCTCTCAGGTTGTTTGAGGGGAATATCCTTCAATTGCCAAGGTGGACATGTCGATGCATTGAAAGTATTAGGGGAACGATGCCCGGGGACAACGTGAAACTTTCTATTCATAGTGGCCGAGCAAGCGGGGTGCAAGAAACATATCATTGCCATCTCAACCACGTTATTTCAACCACAATAGTCATGTCGAATCGATAATGAAGTTCAACAGTTGCAATCTCCCATGTCAGCCCAAAATTCTCATTTCATGTGTGACTGCTATTGACGATATTTGCTCGTCATGCCATTCATTCTGGGCTCTACATCGTGCTACGACACTTTCCGCTGTTTTCATTATGCCCCCAGCTGGTTTGAATATCGGACGAATGTGACGATCAACCCCGCACTGCGAAATCTATCTTGGAATTGTACTCCACCTGCGTTGCTTCTCACGGCAACCTGCCTTTTAAAGAACCAAATTGCAGTGCGAGATTGAATCGTGTTCAATTCGCGCGTAGGATCAAGCGGTGGTGATTGATAAATTATCTTATGGCTACAATTGAGGATAGTTCCCGCGTGTACATGCCAGGTCTCGTAATGCCTCACTATCTAGCGTTATATAGTTGTCCCAGGAAGGGTTGCTCATTCGAAGGAACAAGAGGTAGTCTGTACTTGGTGAGATTGCCGAGACGTGCGGTGACGGCTCCGGGGGGGTAATCTGCTTGAGTTGCGAGCGTCGCCTTCGACGCATCCCGACATGAACAATCAGAATAATGATAATCACACAGGCCCCAATAAGGACTACAAAAGGGGTCCAGTCATGTGAGGGATGAGGGTCTGGAGCTCTTGTGGTGAAGTGTCCGAAGTGTGCGATATCAATGTCGTCCAACGTGGGTTGGGTTGTTGGATTGACAGACGGAGGAGATTGGGTAAAGTTGCTCGCGTTTATGTCTGGTTCGTTTGAGGGCGGCAGAGTAAACGGAAGCATGTAAATCGGACGCTGCATTGTTGTTGGTGGTGTTGGTGTGACGGTCGGTGTCGTCGTTGTCGGACGAAACGCTGGGGGCGTGGAGTTGTGGACTCTGACGGCGGAGGAGTCAGCTTTGTGGTCGATGGAGATGACCTTGAAGGAAGAGGGGTAAAACTTGGTGTGGGCGGAGGCTGTGTAACCGGAGGCGGTGGTGCTGGCGGCGAACTTGTGGTCATAACGAAGGATGCCGTAGGAACGATCGGCGGTGGGGTGAACGTAGTCGGCGGCGAAGTTGATGGTTCGGTGCTGAAGGTGGTTGTAGGCGCTGTGGTTTCGTTTTGGAGATCGAAGATCGTGTTTTGCCCTTGAGCGACTATGAACATGCACACAAGGAGGAGGCAGAATCGACGCATACGTGTCTTTTGTTTTTAAGGCTGAAAACGTTTTCAGGAAATGGCATGTACGGCTCTTGGACTGCCCCCTTGGATCGCCCATACAGTGACCCATTGCAAACTCCCACACTCGCCGTGCGAATGAGTCTGATAAGAGAAAGAGGAGAGCAGATTGAGCTTCCAACACAAATACTGGAAGCCCTATGAAGTGCATGCTAAATAAATACGCAATCGAGAAACGCAACGAGGAAACACAGACTTCAAGAGCCCTTCTAGAGTAGCCCAAGCAGAATATTCGGACGCTACCACTCACGATGGACTTTGGAATACTCTTCTTGAACACTCCATAATGATTCAGAACGGACGTCCATGCATACACATGGTCCAACCTGAAGACTTGCGATTCCACAGCCAACCTTGTAGTGCGACTCCGTTGTGCCCCAGGCCCCCCCCCGAGGTACGCTACACTCTGGGGGCACACCATGCCTTAAATATGCACGACTTGTACAATAGACTCTGGGGGGGGCTTTCCACACCTTCCATATCATAAAAAATCCGACTTCAGAGGTCAGGTATCTAATGAAATCCGACCAATGAGCGTGCAGGAGTAATATCTGTGACACGCTTGTGAGGAATGTTTGAAAACGAATTTCGAACTAAAAGACTCGGTGAAAGACGCCTTTATCCTTGCACACAGAATTGTCTGAAAGTGCCTGTAGGCTGAGATTGAGGATATCGAAGTTAGCGTGTCCGCTCGAAGTAATTCGACCTGACAGCTTCATGGAAAATTCAGAAATGAGGGCAAGGATAGAACATATGCCTCTCAAAATCGATATCGCTTTGCAGAGTTCCGGCACAACCGAAGAGATCATTCTCGATTTTTCACGCAAGTCCTCAAGCGGAGTGTCATGTGTCGTATGTGAAGGACCCATCATTGTCAACGATGAAGACATAAAGTTGCGGCTCACTGTGAATGAAATCAAGATCAACCAAGCTCAAGGACAGAGCGATCGTGTAGCTCATTGGTAGAGCGCAGGGCTCATTGCCCTGAGAAACTGGTTCGATTCCAGTCGAGATCATGGTGTGTTTTCGAACTCTCATACATTCAAGATAACCAACCACCTTGCACAATCAGCAAGCAGTATTGTGAACAAGACTTAGCGTTAACACCTGCGACTTGGCTTCAACCCTTTGGTGCCACCAATATGACCAATATATTCAGCGCGCAAGACACAAACCTGATCGTGTAGCTCATTGGCAAAGCACAGGGATTGTTACCCTGAGAAACTGGTTCGATTCCAGTCTCGATCACATTATGTTGGATTTACGAACTCTCAAGCATTTCAGACAACCGTTTGGCTTGCACAATCGACGTACAAGGATGAAAAGAAGACGAAGAGTTAGCATGTGCGACTTGGCTTCAATCCCTTGATGAAGATCAGTATGAGCAATATATACGACACACAAGACACAAAGTAGATCGTGTAGCTCATCGTAGAGCGCATGGCATGTTACCCTGAGAAACTGGTTCTATTCCAGTCGCGACCAAGGAACATTGAATTTGCTTGCTGCGGAAACAAGTCAACTACCATGAGAGACCGCAAGATACAACAGAAGACACTCTGGCATGTGCGATAGCACCTGATAGTCGGATATTTAGGTATAATCTCACAACTTGTTTGATTTGCTTCATCTTACTCACTTCGTGTGTCAAGGACATCTTGAGTATAGGCAGGCGAGGGGTCAAGGATGGCTCTTGCAGCAAGAAGCCGTCGATGCGTGACAATTTTACCATTGAGCTTTCCTGTTCGATGAAGCAATCGCATCATCTTGAGAACAGCGTTTGCTCCTTTCGAGTTCGATCTATGTTGACTCAAAAACGCCACCTCGACAAGCAAACCCAACGTCATAACGTCGTCTCAATATGCGGAGGCTTTGTCATCGAGCTTAAATCCACTGTCAAGAAACAACTTCAAATACGCAACAAGCAACTTTGAATCCGATCGTTTCTGCTTGTTGACGCATTTGACCCACAATCGTGGCTCTGACGTGTACCATTCATACCAGATTGCTCTGAGAGGAACATTAGAGGCTTTTCGTCGGCATTTGGGGGGAAACTGTTGATCACTTGCAGGAATTGTTGCAACAACAGGTCTTGCCTGGCACTCAGCAATTTGCTCAGTTGTCGACTTTTGCGCATCAAGCTTTGCTTCCATCGCATCCAAACGCTCGTCCTGGCGCTTGGCTTGCTCAATAAAGTCGTTAATGACAGATGCTTGGTGTCTAATCATCTTGCGCTCATCTTACTCATTGGCTTGCTCGCATTGAACGCTTTCAACAGGATCGATCATTGCCGCAGCCAAATGAACTGACCATGAGAGCAGCTGCGGTATGGTACATCCCGCCTGTTCCAAGCACGATTCGAGGCGCACCACCGCTGGGCTGTTGGGGCTCAATTCTTTAAACAGTGGAAATTGTAGGATCAAGTAAGCTATCAATATGTCCAGCACATTTCCGTCGATGTTGTATTTTCTTGACTCGAGCCCAGAGCAGGACGCAAAGACAAGCCTTTGCACTTGTTGAATTTTCAGTCTTGTCGAAGTGTCAAATGACGACAAGTCTGCTAAGCGGACACGATGAAATGGAGATTGGCCGCTAAGGACTTTCGCCACCTTATGATCTTCTTTGAGGGTATTGAAGACATATCCAAACCCTTTGTTTGTGGTGCTGACGTTCCACGCCCCGCGATCAAAGATCCACCGAGCCGTCAAATGCTCCGAGCCATTCGCAAACTGGGCTCCACCGCGTCGAAACGAATGTGACGACAAATGGACTTCAACACCAGCTGGCTTCGCAACGCGATTGAGTAAACGATTTACATGATAGTGTAGTGTAGAGTGGAGCGTGATTTTAGAGTTGCAAGAGGATGTGTCGGGTAATTTGGGTTGAACATCCATGTCAGGTGCATCCAACAAATCAATCAAAGGGGAATCATTGTTGAGATCAGCATTCGTTCGTGACACAGCGGGTGGCAAGTTGTCGAGCAGATCGGCACATGGAGCAATTTGGGTTGACAATGCTACGGCCATAGTAAACAGAGGGCATGTCAAGGGTTCAGAATCGGGAAACAGAGACAAGCCTTGCTCCTCGCTCGTTTTTAGACGAATGAGGCGCACAAAGAACACTCCGCCTGCGTCAATCGAAACATTTCCTTTTCGAACAAAGGATAAATCTGACGCACGTCCAAACATGTACCACATCAAACACAAAAGCGACGCATCTTGGTAGTCACTGAAAGTGGTTGCATTCTTGTACAGATGACGTACCATACAACATAAGTCATACTTGGAGCACGCAGGTGCCTTTTTCACAAACCCACCTTCCTCTCTTTTGAGACAAAAGTTCTCTAAGGTTCTACCCATTTTGAGAAGTCGAGTTTCCAATACATGTCGTAGCAAAGGGAACTGGTCTAAAAGCCAGTGTTTCACTTGTCTGTAGTACTGCATACATGAATGTCTTGCCAATGGCTGGCCAGCAGAGCCTTCGCTGAACGCAAGGAACATGCCAAATTTGTCCATGACGGATACAAAACATTTTCCAGTGGCGTCTTTTTGAATACATTGCTTGACATAATCAAGCATAACATTTTCCGCTTTGAGGAACCTGGCGAAAGCGTTGACTGCCGTCTTTCTTGCTCGCTTTGTATTCCCAGATTGCAAATCGTCCAAACCCATTGAGGTGTGCAGTGCAAGAAGAATGCCTGTACCCCCCTGATCAATAGAAATCAAAATATCTTGCAGTCTATATACTCGCGTCAAATAATTACAATCTATACAGCCAGTATATTTTCGATAGGATATTTAAATAAATTCAAGCAATCTGCGTCAATAAAATATGACAAGAAATCTTGTCACAATCTATAAAGCATCGTATAACGATTCTGAACCAGTGAATGTTTATAGACTCGAACCATGAAAACCAGCTTGCGCCGGTAGTGGGTCGACGGTAGTGAGTCGACGTAAGGTCGAAACAAACAATACTACGTGTGCCAATAATCATGTTTATGCTACTATTTAGCTAAGAATAGGATTGAAGTGATATCAATAGTAAGTTTTTTCTGATCTTCTCGCCGTATTCGCCTCTGACAAGAATAATCGATGGATCCAAAATTATTTACGTAGTTAAATGTAGTTCATGGAGGTTATATCTTTGTTGAATATGTGGAATGTTGAGAAGAAAATGCTGTACGAGCTCTTGTGTAGGACAATTGTTCCACAGTGAACCCAAAGGACGGCTTTTTGTTGTAATGGATAACTACACTTCTTTGTTAAATTTTAAATCATTCTACAACAGAGTATCCTCCCTATTTTCAAGCTGTGGTAAATCTAGAGCGTTTCATCCGAGTTTGAACTTTTCAGTCAAAGTTTCAATCAATTTGGAATTTCCATTATATCTTCTCTTTGAACTTTAAACTGCCAACACCGAAGGCCTACATCTATATACTTCGAAGTACCTCTTAGAAATATCATATGTAATTAAAAAGGCAACTGACGTCGCCCATGCTTCTTTTATTACTGGGCACCACGACTGACTTAAAATGCATACACGTTTTATATTCGTTAGCTGTTAAGACAGGGCAGAACGGTAGCTGAAGGGAAACCATTCATTAAGGACAACATCAAGTCAAGTTTATTATGACGCAAAGGATAAAAAGTTTCCATCTGTAGGAAGATATACTACTCGGTAAAAGGCTGGTATGTCCGGATAACGCCATCGTCGGACGATGTCGAAATATTTCTTTGATATCTATTAGACTTGTATTTTGTATAGACATACACATATTTTTTCAAAACCTCCGACTTTGAAGGTCGGAAGCCCCAAGGAGATGCGGGAAATCACGACTTTTAATAAAAACTGTCAATAATTTTAAAAAAATATTCCCAAAATTTAAAAAAAGTTTCTTCGAGATTCTTTTAGAGGATTCTTTTAGGATTATATAATCTAAAAAGAAACTTGCAAAACGACCTAAAAAAACCCTCACTTCCCAAACGATTCAAAGTTTGATATTTTAGGACAAGGTGCTTAGGAATACTTCATGAGGATATCAGTCGAGAAACATCAACTTTTGTCATGTCTTGTTTGGTTTTTTCAACGTCAAAGTCGGAGTTTTTAGAAGTTTATTTTAACTTTACATTAAAAAAAACCATATTCAAACCATTTCAATCCTGGATTTCATTGTTCTCAGCTGTAGACTGTACTTATAGCAATAAGTTTCAACGAAAAGTAATCGCAATGGGAAATGTCTTTGGTTAGTTTTTTAAGCGACAAGTCAGAGATTTTGGAACTTAAAGAAACTTTTGTAAATGTTGTATACACCAACAATCATGTAATTTAAAAAAAGTTTTGAGCAATATTTTTTTTAAAAATAAAGACGTATTTTTTTAAATTGTTGATTTCCCGCATCTCCCAACTCACCCTACTTACCTAACCCTAATAAGTTCTATTGGGCAAATAGTGTTATCATTCAAATTCTCATTGGTGTACTAGACATATGACGAAGTTGATTGGACAAAATGTATCATAATGAAAGAATAACTGGTCGGAGTTTTGATGATATTCATCCATATCCACGACTTGCAGTAAGTTGTAAGGCGTTACAACAGAACCCCCACATTCTAGTTCCAGAAAGATGATCGTTTTCACCACCCACCGCCTTATTTCGACTGAAATTCAAGACCATTCGTTTGAACCCAGCGTCTAACTAAACGATGGCTCGTACTCAGGCTCAGACATTGCCAGCCAGGATAAAGCTAACTTTGACATTCCCTTGGGTACGCCGAGTTGTTGGACCTGCACCAAAGAGATAAAGTATCTCACAGCGGTCCGCACGGTGTCCACGTGTGTCTTGGCATGCAAGCGTGGTCGGTCGAGAGCGTTGCACTTTTTCCAACATGTTTTGTGGAACGCCGACGGCTCGACCAACCACGAGCGTAAAAAAGAGGAAGCGCTGTATTCGCGCAAGGAAGAGATTAGATTGTTACACTTTGTATCTTTTGATCCTCGATCAACAAGGTTGAAAGCACCATCTAACACGGCGTCAGCACCTAAGCCGAGAAAATTTGAGAGCGACGCTGTCTTGTCAACTTGTCGGCGAAGTGAAGTCAAGTATACTTTCAAGCACGATCCAACAAGGCCTTTCTCGTATGCAGACTGATCTTTTGTGAGGAGATCTTGGAAAGCATATGTGGAAAATGGACTTCAACAAGATCCCGTTTTGTAGCGCAGGATAAGTCAACTTTTAAAGTTGAAAT